CTTTAATAATACAGTACGAAAAAGGGGTTGTCACGGATAAATCCGTGACAAATCCGTGACAAATTGTTATATATATCCCAACCCCATCGTCCATTACAATTGCAAGAACAACACTTATCCCTTATCGGTTCAAAAATTCGTAGATTCGAGTGATGTAGTATCGGTTTAAATATTGAATGATGTAATCTGTCAGTTCATCATTTTTCCTGTTTATGCAGATAAGGTATGTCATTTTAACTAAATTCTTTTAATTATGTAATAAATTATTAGCTTAGTGAGGTTAGTTGTTCATCATTTATTTAAACTATTAACGTAATTTTAACGTAATTTAGTGAGGTCATGTTAATTTTCATATTATTAACAATTTAAAGGACGGAGGTAGTATTAAACTATTAACGTAATTTAGTTAAATTTAAATATAAATATTAATTAGTTAATTCAAATGAGTTTATATCACCAATGATTAGGCTGGTTTTTTATTAGCAATTATTGTTATTAATCATAATTTAGGATTTGTAGTGATTTAAGTTAGCTAGCTTAATTATAATTATTATAGCTTAATTAGTGACTTGTAGTGATTTAAGTTAAATTAGCTAGCTTAGGTTATTAATTATCACCAATTATTGTTTATTAGCAATTATTGTTAATGCATAATATAGGATTATATTGAAACTTTATTAATTAGTTTAGTGTGAATTATTATTGTGAATTAATGAGATAATATTTAACAATAATATTAGTTAAATGTAAATTAATTAACTAAGTTAAAACATTGAACTTTAGTGAAATGGGTTTAGAATTTGAGTGATAATATTAGTTAGATTTAAATATTAGTTAATTGAAATGGGTTTATAACCAATGATGATTAGGTTTGTTTATAAGCAATAATTATTGTTAATGCATAATTTAGGATTTGTAGTGATTTAAGTTAGGATTCAAACTTAATTACTTAAGTGTGAATTATATATTATAGTGAATTAATGATATTTAACAATATTAGTTAAATGGAAATTAACTAATTAATTAGTTAAATTAGTTAACTTTAGTATTGTGAATAAATGCCATTAACGTAATAACTTTAATTAGTATTATATGTTAGTTAATTATTTAATGTGTACTATTCGATTTTCATAATTTTAGTATTGTGAATAAATGCCATTAACGTAATAATTTAGTGCGTTTGATGCACAAATTCTAATATTGTGAATTAGTTAATAATTGAAACGATTAATGCCATTAACATATTACTATTAGTTAATTAGTAATTTTGATTGAACGTTAGTTAATTTTAGTGAATTTTAATGAAATTTAATATACTAATGTTACTTGCGTGAAATATAAAATAGTCTAAGTTCACTAAGTTCAACCGAGCTAGCTTAGGTTGTATTAATTTTAGTGAACATTATATTAGTAAATTATTAATTCCGGCCATTAACATATTTGTTTTAGTTAATTAATAATACTAATAGTGAACTTGAGTGAAATTTAACGTATTAATGTTTCTAAATATGAATTAGTCATGATTGAAAACTTAGATAATTCAAATTATTAATGCCACAAATGTATGCTTTTAGTTAATTAATAATATTAATTGAACGTTACTTAATGTACTTATATAATATTTTGATATATTGAAATTAACGGATCCCTTAGTTATATATTGAAATTATCTTTTGTTTGACTCAACATGTTTCTCAAGATGTGTGGTCAAAAGTAAATTATATGGTTGACATTTGGGTTAAAATGTGTGAAATGAGTAAACTACTTTAATTGCAAATATTTTTTCCCTAGGAAAAAAAGTTTTAGAGTATTCAGGAACCGAGAGTTACTCTTTTAGGAATAATGAAAGTATGATTTAATTTCTACGGGGTATAAGAGAATGCTCTTTATTGAAAGAAGAGAGACAGTCAGAAAGCGAATCACGATTCCCCAAGGTTCTGTCACGATAGTCTATTACATTGATACATACGGAGTATAACCTTATAAGATATGAATAACATACATACGTTAGTTTATCTATCAGTATAATCTGTTTTCTCCAACCAAAACATATTTGTGTTTGTTATGTGTGTTTTCATATAACAATACAAATTCATGCTACTCTTTCATTTCAACCTTACTCCTACTATTATGATTATTATAGTCATCTTGGTTACTTTATTTCCCACATATAATCTAGCCTATAAATACTTTATTATTTATGATTTCTTATCAATAAATAACAAACTATGTATTCAAATATTGTATTCATATTACTTATATATAACACTCAACCTAAACCGAGGAATTGATGTCCCTAAAATGCCCTTGGGCATTACCACAAACGCGCAACGCGCGTTACTAAACTAATTTGTGTTTATAAACACCATCCATTAGATATTAAGATCATCGGGTTTACATACTTCGTACTCCCTATGACATGGTAAATTTGTGGGCTGTGTTGTACCTGTTTAATTTACTAGTAATTATTAAATGGTTCATATCCTTTTTAAAAAGAAAACGTCAAATTATATTAATTTAACCAATAATTTGGAGGTACAATCAGCCAAAGATTCTAAGATGCACCAACGATCTTCTAGGAGAATTCATCTAAACTCAAGAAAACCTTACGATCAGACTCTGAGATGGTCATCCCCAAAGAAGCAACACGAATTGCTGACGACCAAAAAGAGCAACATACATTTTTCTGACCCTTACGGTGATCGTACTCTTTACCACTTCGATAAACTCAAAATAACCAAAGTGTTTTGTCAGTCCCTGATAGACATCGAAAAATCTACCCCAATCAGAGCGATTTCTTTTGCTGAACATACGGGAGATTTGAGGCAAATAAAGACAATAAGCACCCCCCAAGTTAATTCATTATATTTGATCAAATTTATTTCTCCCTCATATTTAAAAGTTCATGCGTATATTTTCCAAGCTGAAAAAAATTCTTATAATTGAGTACTTTTATTCTACTTAAAAAGTAACAAAATGATTAATTTAAGATTATATATCTATGGATCATAACTACTACTACACTATCGTATTTCAATATTACTACGTATAATAAACGCATTAACATTTAGTAACTCCTACAAATAATTTTTTACTAATTAGTATATTTAACATTTAACTAATCAATTCTAAAAAAAAAGTTAGGTGGGGCCAAATCCCCTACCCTAAAGGATAGCCCCCCCTTTGCTTGCCACTAAACTAATGCTTGCACCCGCACGGGTAGCTCAGTTGATTCAGTGATGGTAAATTTGGAACAATGATCAGGGTTCGAAACCCGCAGCGGTCGTGTGGAGATTACAGTTCCTGCGTGCTGGGCTGGACTTCTGGTGCGCACGGATATAAGGTCTACTATCATTGAGTCGACTGACTCAACGTGACTTACATTCTCTCAAAAATCATATCAGGTCGGGATGTGGGGAGCTTTTGGGATGGGAGATTCCACCTTTTCGAACAACTAAACTAATGCTTGCGTTGCACCCAGAACTCACCCACTCCACACCATCACTGCTGCCACTGACAGGCTACCTTGACTTTGTTGGGGAACTACGAGCAATTAAGTATATATTAGTAATTATATTGGGTAGAAGGACAATATTCATATTTTTTTTGTAATTATATCGAGCAGAAGGATAATGTTTAATTTTATTTAGAGAATATAAAATATGACTCTTTTTGGGTGAACATATAAAATATGACTCTTATTAAGAGAATAAGATCATTTTTTACTCCTCTTTAAGGCAATTATTTTAATTGACGCAGCTGATCGATCATCACTCATCAGATGTTCATAACTTAGAAGCTAGCTGACGAAGGAGACGCCAAAGAGATCGCATTGCTTCGCAATATGATGATAAAAGTCGCGCAATGTTTTAAGACTTCCTATCGGCAGCGAAACAATGCGATCCCTTTGACGTTTACTTTCGTGAGCTTCGTGGCGCATCAGCGCATGGATGTATACTCTATATGGAAGAACTATTAAATTAGAGGTTAAAAATAAGCTTTAATTTGTAGTGGGTGTATATATTAATGGATCTCTAAATTAGGGGTTAAGCTCTCCGGCCTTTTATAGTGTTTGAGATCAACTGTAGCAAATCATTAGGCTGGCCAATATTTCAAAGTTTGATATACGGAGTATTTTTTATTTCTGTTGTATACAACTTTATTAAATTTTAATTTTAGAAATTGTTCTAAATAGGAGTAAAAACGTTTTGAAATTCCAAAATAGGAGTATCATGCTTTTTATTCCCTGAATAAGAGTAATTTGCCAAGTTTGGAAAAAAATGTCATGTTTTAAAGTCTGGTAATGTCAAACTTGGCAGAAATTTACTCCTATTCAAGAACTAAAAAACATGATACTCATATTTTGGAATTTCAAATTTTTTTTACTCCTATATAAGAAATTCTCTCTTTTAATTTCAATTTCATTCAAATAAGTTGAAATTATTTATCTATTTCCTACTCAAATTTAAACAATACGGTTTTTACATTTTGTTATTTCATGTGCAAATCAAACCGGACAGTATTGGATTCACGTATTTTCCTCTTATTCATCGATTTTTGGTGGATCCCATACCATAAAAGAATGGCCAGCTCGACCTATGGGAAAATGTTTTACCCCACATCGGTCGGCCACAGAGCCCAGTTTTGGAAAATTTCAAACAACTTGATCCAAGCAGGCCGGTAAAAAAGAACATAGACTTCGTAGATCAGTAGATGTAAATCTATGGAAGGAGGAATAATTAAAATTTGAATGTGGACAAAAACTTTTAAATAAGTCCTCGTACTATGGCGGAAAAGTCAATTAAGCCTTCATATTTCGAAAATACCCAATTAAACCCTTCAACTATTAAAAAACGTTCAATTAGGTGGATGAACAGGTTACCATCAGGTTTCCAGGTTAGCTACAGGCGTGGCATGACACGTGGCGGGCCATGTGGCAACTGTTTATTTTTTCTTTTTATTTCTCTTTTTCATTCCCTTTCTCTTTTTCTTTCCCTTTTCCCCGAACTCCTAGCAACGTAGATATGGATGCCGACTTTCCCCTTCCCAGTTCGAGGTTGGTTCCAATCTGGCTCGTCGTTGCTAGCCTCGAGAATCTTCTTCAGGAAATTAGTGGATGCTTCTTCCTTGAGAACCTAAACACCCCTCGCTGGAATTCATCTTTGGAGCTCGCTTCTGCCATTAATGGATGCTTGGGAGCTCTACTCACATTCCAAACCAGTTTTGAAGGTCTCGATTTCAACTTTGAGGGTCATGCTTGGAACTTCCTTTAGGTTAGGTTAGGTTAGGTTAGATTTCATTTGCAGAAAGTTTTCCATCGATTTAGGTTGTTGAAAGTCAATTTTTAATGTTAATAAGCCATTAATGGCGATTTAGAAGCTTGATTCTATCGAATCTGCTACAGGTGAGCAACTAGGGATGCGTTGGAACATCAGGTGCATTCCAAGTCTGTTTGGCAGAAGAATGGAAGTTGATTGATGGTTCTAAATCTCAATTTCGGCGTTCATCCTCCATTAATGGAGGCTTGGAAGTACAGGAGCGATGGAGAGGTGTAGTGGCGCAGACGGTTTGGTTGATGGAGAGGTGTAGTGGCGCAGACGGTTTGGGAAGTCCAGGAGCCGTATGTAGCAGCCAACTGGGAAAGAAGGAAAGTGAGAAAAGAAAAAGGAAATTTTAATATTTGCCACATAGACCGCCACGTGGAACGCCACACATGCAAAGAACCAGGAAACCGGTTGGTTACCTAGTAATTCGCCTAATTGAACGTTTTCTTCAGAGTTAAGGGTTTAATCGAGTGTTTTCAAAGTACGAGGGCTTAATTGACTTTCCGACATAGTACGAGGACCTATTTGATAGTTTTCTCTTTGAATGTGTGCCGTCACTAATGATGCAAACAAAAACAATTTTCTATGCTTAAGTTTATATATAGGCCGATTCTATAATTCTCACATAATTTTATACAAATATTACCAAATATGATATGAGACAAATTTAGTGAGACAGAGAAAAAAGAAAAACGAAACAATTATATTGGAATGGAAGAAGTATTTTTTGTGACTGAAAAGATCTTAAAAGAAAAAAGTTGTAATTGTTTGATAAAAAAATTGGCTGTTTGATTTGATACTATTTAGTATAACAAACTCTTGTGACTAATTAATATTAAAAGGACAAAGATGTGACTAAGAAGAACATAGGTTTGGAAAAACACGATTTTTATGTCACTATCAAATTTTTATGTCACTATCATATGTCATTACCAATTCTTATGTCACTTTTGAATGTCACTACCAGTTTCGTGTCTTAATGTCACTATCGGTTTTCGTTTCACTTTAAATGTCACTGCCGCCGTAAACATGTCACTGTGATTGCCAGATACTAGTATTTTCCGTTGACTTTTTCAGACGACTTTTTGACCGAAATTGCGACTTTTCCAACCAGGTGCGGCCAACAGTGACATTTAGATCCAAAGCAACACCAATATCACCCGTCCTGGCCACCTGCCGACAATGTCCACAATCTCTAGCCGACGCCGACAACCAACTCCGATTGTCGTTGTCTCACTCCGGCCGCCGCCGTCTGCCCCAACTCTCTTACCATTGTCGTAGCCAGCCCCGAAATCCCCTTCCCCAAACACTCCTCCCCAACCCTCCAATCCCTTCCTTAGCTTCCCAACAATTGCCCCAAATCCCACCCCCAGTTCCATGAGACTCTACCAGCGGCAATCCCCAATCGTTAGAACCTCAAACCCAGCCCCCTACCTAGCCCCCTCACCTTAACAGACTGTCCCATTTTCCGGCCGCCGCCCTAACCCTAGCTCGAGATTTTGGGTAGAAGAAGAAAGGGGAAGGGGAAGATACACGGCGGCGACGTTGTCGTGCTTGCCACACTCACCGGCGCAGCGGCGCTGGAAGAGATGCAAGAAGAAATGGCCATCGACCATCGCTGAGTGTGCTGGAAACAATCCATTGATTGTCTCCTTATGCTGAGTGCGCTGGAAGGATGCTTCGCTGCTATGTAGTATTTCAGATCTTTTTTTTGTGCCAACGATCTTTTTTCTTAATTAAAGGTCATTTTTTTGGAAAAGAGAAATAAGGTGATATTTTTGGAAATACAAAGTCCTATGCTAATATAGAGGTCATTATTTCCATGTCAAACATACGATAGAAGTTTTTAGAGACTTTACAAATAATACAAAAGTTTGAAGGTATGAACTTATAGCTACCAAACATGCACCATGTCTGATTGACTTCCAGATTATCTTACCCATTATTTAATTATACGGTGCATTATATAAGGAGTCATTGGAAAATTTTAATAGCCCGTGATTTTTTAAAGCTCAAGAGTATTAATAGTCGGTGGAGTATATACTTTTAAAAGTCTAAAGAGTCTAGATGTATTTCAATTTTCAATCATTTTTATGGACTTGTAAAAACATGGATTGTTGTACGTGGAATTTTAACTCATTATTAATGCATTATTTCTATATTATTTTCTCTTCCCCTTCCAAAATATTTTTGTGCACCTTTTCTTTTATCTTCTACTTGTCACAAGTATGTATGGATTCGATTTAAAAATCAGATAGGAATCGTCTTATTATTTACCCGGGGTCGGGAACTGACCAACTGATCCTGAACTGATACCGGGTCACGAGATGGGTACAGGGATGGTCTCGATATGTAGGGTTTGCAAATCAAAGCCTGATTTTTTTTTATCAATTTACGATATATAAATCTGAACAAGGAAATTAAATCCTACCTCAACTTATATAAGAATTAAATGTGGTTTATTTTATCATTTTATGAATACAAAATAAGAGTGGGATCAATTCGGTTCTTCAAAACAAAATTTAAAACCATTGGTGAGAACTAGTGAGAACTCTCTTAAAATGAGAACTCATGAGAACCCCTCAGAACCGGTGGTATTTTGGGCTGATTTGTTTTGTGTAGGTTCCTCATCAATTCTTGTTGATCCATACCAAAATTGAGCAAAAAATTCAATCGGGAAGGTTGTCAAATGATTTTTGAAAGAAAACTGCGTTTTATATATTTATCGGACCAGTTTTCTTTCAAAAATCATTTGACGACCTTCCCGATTGGATTTTTTGCTCAAATTTGGTATGGATGATCTAGACTTGATGAGGAACATACACAAAAAAAATCAGCCAAAAATACCACCGGTTCTCAGGGGTTCTCATTTTAAGAGGGGTTCTCCTATATTTTAATATTTTTTGCACTTTTCCGTGCACTTTTTTTGCTAATCTGATGCACATATCTTAAATTGAACGCACCAGATGCATTCTTACTTCTTACGATAAGTACTCTTCTCATTTGATCCCTATAAGTTATGATTTTTTGGTTAGAAGTTCGTGTTTTTTGTTTATAAGTTAGACTTCTTAGCTTCTCAGCCTAAGGGCACTTCTCCGCTGATCCGCTCCCTATATATATATATATATATATATATATATATATATATATATATATATATATATATATATATATATATATAGGGAGCGGATCAGGTGAGAAGTGCTCTTAAGCTGAGAACTGCGAAGTTTAACTAATAGACTAAAAACACGAACTTTTAACCAATAAATCATAATTTATAAACCACGTCGAAAATAATTACGAAAATGCCACCGCCAAAAAATAAGCCTGGAAACCTTAAAAAATTTTGGACGCGGTGTCATTTTCGTAATTTTGATGGAGAGCTTTATAAGTTATGATTTATTGGTTATAAGTTCCTATAATTAGTCTATAAGTTTATTGCGTTGTAAGATTAGATGCAAATCCAAGGGCTGTGATAGGATTTTAAGAGGGACTTCTCACCTGATCTTTTCTCTCTCTCTCTCTCTCTCAGTATATATATATATATATATATATATATATATATATATATATATATATATATATATATATACACACACACAGACATATATATACATACTAGCCTTGGCACGTGCGTTGCGCGAGGTTTGATGCCCAACGGGAAAAATATTGGCAAATGTGAAGAGCATAAAATTAATCAACATTATCTACATATAGGGCATGGACCGGGCCCGGGTCGGGCCGGGCTCCGGGCCGGTTCACATCGGGCTTTTTTAAAAAACTTGGGCCTGGAACCGGCCCGGATGGATACCGGGTCCGGGCCGATCCAATGTTTTTTTTTGCTTTCTAATTAACCCCGACCCCCCCCCCACCCCCACCCCTCAAACCTCCCCAAAACACCCAACCCTACCCAAGGAAAAGAAGAAAAAAAATTGAAAAAACAAAAAAAAATATGAACTAGGCCCGGCCCGGACCACCCGGGCCGGTCCAAGAAAAATAGGGCCCGAGCCCGGCCCGCCAGGCCCGCCCACACTGGGCTAAAGCCCATAACCGGCCATCCGGGCCCGCACAGTAGCGGGCCGGTCTGGTTCACGGGCCGATTCAGCCTGGTTCGGTCCACCTCTATCAACATAGCAAGGCAAAGTAGGACAAAATAACAATTATAACCATACATATTTGGTAGAAGCTTAATTCTCGGAATACAACCAAATAAGGGAATAACTCTAGGGGAAAACACGAAATAATCAGGTTTTCCCTAGGTTTAAAAAACATCAAGGAAGAGTGAACTTAAACTCATGTTTAAAACTAACAAAAAAATTAGTAAAAAACATAATTATTTTGTTGCACGCCTAACCCCATTTGGTGTTAAACGTCTATCACAAGTTTGTGTATTTTTTAGAAAAAATAATATGCATTTGAAAGAGCAGATATTGTTCTTTATTCAATTTATTTATATCAAATTAACCCAAATAGATAAGAAATGTAATCCCAACCTGTTCAATTAGTTCCAGTCTTAAAAGGCTGCCCTCAGCTCGAGGTCTGTCTCTTCTCTAATCTGTTCATTTTCCTCTTGGCTATATGAATTCAGAATTACCCAAATAGGTTGGTCATAATGTAGCAGATACGAAAGAGAAAGAAAAGTAAACAAAACAAGAGATTGACAGATCGATATAGAGTCAAAAAATGATTGGTGTTTTGATTGAGAAGCACTTGACCAATATTATATGAAATCATACACAAGAGAGACAAATATATATCTTCAAGCTTATAATCTTCAAGCTCATTTTTTTCTGAAATGGTTTTGCCAAAGCTTGAAGCAACTGTTGATGCTGAGAGACCAATCTATAAAAAAATTAAGAATCTAACAACATGATCAAATACATAATTTGTGGTTGCGGGAAAAACGCGCATAAATCAACTAACAAAACATTGGGCAAAAGAAAGCTAGAAATTCTTCCAAATGGAGGATGCTTCATCTTTGTTCTAGGTAGCACCTGGTTAGGTCTGCAATAAAGAAAATAGATTAGTTAGGGATGGTCCCAGATAGAGGTAAAAGTCTAGAGGGGGGTGAATAGACTTTTAAAGCTTTTTCAACTTCAAAACTTTTCCCTCTAAAAGAGTTGATCTATAATCTTTTAGGAGATTTCTAGATGCACAGCGGAAGTCTTTAACCTCTTAGATAAATGGTGTATAACAACTTTCTATGATGGATGAAGTTTGGGCTTTGTAAGGTGAGCAGTTGGCTTGGCAGTTGGCTTGGCAGTTGGCTAGAAAGCAGGGAACTGTTGAGGCAACTGCTAGCGAAATGCTCAGTGTATGATGAAAGTGCACTAATAATCTTTCTTAGAGTGGGAAGATCTTTCTGATGATATGACAAGGTAAATTGATAATCAATCTTAATTAGAGCAGTGGTCTCAGCAGTTGGGTGGTAACCAGGGAACTGTTGAGGCACCTGCTTAAGTAAAAGTGAAGGTATGGGAAGATTGATTATATGGTGTTGCTCAGGAAGATGTAGGCTTTCTGAAGATGTGCATTAGTTCGAGTAAGTGGGAGTTTT